ACTCCTACCTATTCAACTTCCTCCTTCTTCTACTTGGTAGACCTATTGACTCTTGTACGGATTGACCAGCTGTACCATCCTCCTAGTCCCATGGCCAGACCCTTCTTCTGTCTCTTTGGTGGTTTCTACACTACCTAGAAGTAGCTCTACATGTTATCTTTCAAAGACTGCTCTAAGTTCACTCATACCTCAGTCCTCTTAGCCCTATACCCACTTTCCAGTGTTCCTCCATCACACAATGTCCTAGCATTGAAAGACTTACCATAATGACAAGTCCCTTGTGGTTCCTCTGATGGGGAAATCACTGGAGTAGCAGTATCTTTTAGAGGTCACCTACCAAGCTCCCTCTTTCTAGAACCTTTGCTCCCAAATATTAGCATGTGTAAGAATCACTTGTTGTTCTTGATAGGTGCTGACAAGTCAGTTTTGACTCATAGCGACCCTAGGTACAACACAACGAAACGCTGCCTAGTCCTGCGCCATCCTCACAATCATTGCTGTATTAGTGTCCATTGTTGTAGCCACTGTGTCAATCTTATTTTGTTGAGGGTCTTCCTCTTTTTCACTTCAGTGCCACTCCTCTTCATTTGGTCATTCCCGGCATAGTAGACCATATGATTGTCCAATTCAAAATGGCTAATACCAGTCCAATTCAGTTCACTAATGCCTAGGTGTGATGGTTGGGGTTGTGTGTCAACATGGCTTCGCCATGATTCTCAGTGGTTTGGCAGTTATGATATAGTTTGGCAGTTAAGTAATGATGCAGTCACCTTCATGATGAGATCTAATATAATGTAATCTCCTCTTTGATGAGATCTGCTACGAGCAGCCAGTCAGTTGAAAGGGAGTTTCCTTGGGGGTATGGCCTGCATCCAATATACACGGACTATCTGGCAAAGTTTGCTGGCTTTCGTCCTGCTCTGGATCCTCTATTCATCTCATCATCATCTGAACTCCAGTTCTTGGAACTTGAGCTAGCAGCCTGTGGTCTGACCTGCAGCCACTTGAGTGAGGAGAAGCCTCCAGCCTGACACATGACCCATGGACTTGGAACTTTCCAGCCTCTACAATCACATGAGCCATCTCTTTGATATAAATCTCTCTCTCCACCTACCTACCTATCTATCTAAGCTTCACTGGTTTTGCTTCTCTAGAGAGCCCAGCCTAAGATATTTGGTACCAGAAGTAGGGTACCAAAGAGAAACAAAATTGTAAGGATGAGTTTTCTAAACTGGTTCTCAAGTCTGGTTAGTCTTAAAGATGTTGATGACTCTGCTTCTAGTAGCAAAGAGGGCACTGCTAATCTATGAATGAGGTGGCAACAGAAACACGCAAAATATCAACACTGATAGATCAAGTATTGGTGAGAGGCAAGGCTCTGCGTGATTGCACATTTGATACTTTACTACGGTTTCGTCAGAATGAGAAGTATAAGGAAACTGGTTGGTTGGTCCTACTTTTGCTAGACAAAGTGGTGAAAGAAAGTGATAAGCTCAGGCTTCAGAGTCAAAGCTCAAGTGCCACATAAACGACATCACAGTTGCCACTTTTGCCCTGAAAGAAAGCCTTATTTCTTGCAGTAACAGAGCTGATATTGCCAAAAACCAAACCCAGAGTCTTATTATAAGAGTGGCCGAATTGCATCAGTTGAATTCCCAAATTCCAGTGGTATCTGAAGTTAAAGTGAGGGCATTGATTGGGAAGAAATGGGATCCTGAAACTTGGGATGGGGGCACATGGGCAGACAATCAGGAAGCTGGGGACACTGAACCCCTAAATTCTGTTGAATCACTCCTGCCAACAAAACCATTTAGCCCCTCTACCCCCATCTGATGAGATTAACCCAGCTGTGTCTGAAGAGCCTTTGTCTGAAATATCGCCTGGGGTGGTGAGTGAGTCATCACCTGGGGCATCACCTGAGGTATCACCAGAGGCAGATACCTTACAAGACACTGCTGAATGTTCTCAAAACACATCCGTACCACCCATTTTTGCTTCTAGACCTATAACGAGACTTAAGTACCAGTGAACCCCAAAAGATGAAGTATAAAGTGTGACCCAGGAGGAGGTACACTATGCTCCAAACGAACCATGACCACTGAGGTTCACCCTTCATCCAAAGATTAGACAGGCCCATAAAACAAAACAAAACTAAAGGGGCACATCAGCCCAGGGGCAAGGACTAGAAAGCAGGAGGGGGCAGGAAAGCTGGTAATAGGGAACCCAAGGTCAAGAAAGGAGAGTGTTGACATGTCATGGGGTTGTTAACCAATGTCATAAAACCATGTGTACTAACCGTTTAATGAGAAGGTAGTTTGTTCTGTAAACCTTCATCTAAAGTACAATTAAAAAAAAAGAACCATGACCAGCTGAGGAGCTTGCTGAGGGCAAAGGGAATACAGAATTGGTGGTGGAAAAAGGTAGTTCTAAATACCAGCTACAACCACGTGACCAGTTGCAGAAAATAGGACTGTAATTGTTACGATTATTTTTTCCTGTATATATGTACATCAAATGTTTTTGTTTTCCTCACTTATAAAATATAAGATGTAAACAGGGCTAGTGCATTTTTGGTTGTAAGTGTATTAGTTATATCATGTTAGGCACAAGTATGACTTTATAATTGTCTTTATTTAGAGATTATATATAGTTTAAGGAGATGTGTACAGGTGCCAAGTTGACAAGGGGTGGAGTATGATGGTTGGGGTTGTGTGTCAACTTGCCTGGGCCCTGATTCTCAGTGGTTTGGCAGTTATGATATAGTTTGGTAGTTATATAATGATGTAATCACCTCTGTGATGAGATCTGATATAAATAATTTCCTCCATGATGGGATCTGCTATAAGCAGCCAATCAGTTGAAAGGGAGATTCCTTGGGGGTATGGCCTGCATCCAATATATATTGACTTTCTGGCAAAGCTTGCTCTTTTACTCTGCTCTGGATCCTGGATTCACCTCGTCATCATCTGAACTCCGGTTCTTGGAACTTGGGCCAGCAGCCTGCCATCCTCTGCTGATCTTGAATTCATCAGCCTCCACAGCCCATGAGCCAGCAGCTTGTGGTCTGACTGCCGATTTTGGGTTTATCAGCCCCTGCAGCTATATGAATCAGGAGAAGCCTCCAGCTTGGCACTTGACCCACAGACTTGGGACTTTCCATTCTCTACATCCACATGAGCCATTTCCTTGATAAATCTCTCTCTATATATGTATGTATGTGTGTGTGTGTGTGTGTGTGTGTGTGTGTGTGTGTGTAAGCTTCAATGATTTTGCTTTTCTAGAGAACCCAGCCTATGACACTAGGATATCAATCTCTATGCATTCCATTTCATTTTTGACAACTTCCAATTTTCCTAGATTCATACTTTGTACATTCTATGTTCCAGTGATTAATGGATGTGTTGCAGCTGTCTCTTCTCATTTTGAGTCATGCACCATCAGCAAATGAGGGACCTGAAAGCTTGTCTTCATCCATGTCATTAAGGTCGACTCTACTTTTAGGAGGCAGCTTCTCCTCAGTTGTATTTTGAGTGTCTTCCAACCTGACAGGCTCTTCTTCCGGCACTGTATCAGATAATGTTCTGCTGCTATTCATAAGGTTTTCACTGGCCAATTTTTTTTAGAAGTAGATCACCAGGTCTTTCTTAGTCTGTCTTAGTCTGGAAGCTCTGCTGAAACCTGTCCACCATGGATGACCCTGCAGGTATTTGAAATACCAGTGGCATAGCTTCCAGCATCACAGCAACATGGAAGCCACCACAGTGCAACAAACTGACAGACAAGTGCTGCAGAATCACTTGGGGCCTGTGTTCATTTGAGTTGTGCATCAACTTGGCTGGGCCATGATTGTCAGAGGTTTAGCAGTTGTGATGTACTTTGGCAGTCGCATAATGATGCGATCACTTCCATGATGAGATTTGACATAATGTGATCACCTCCATGATGGGATCTGCTGTGAGTAGCCAATCAGTTGAAGGGGAGTCTCCTTGGGGGTGTGGCCTGCACCATTATAGGTAGACTCTCTGGCAAGGCTCAGGGGCTTTTACTTGCTCTGGATCCTGCAGCTGGCTCCTGTTCCTCTGACTTTTGGTTCTTGGACTTGACCCAGCAGTTTACCTGCCGTCTTGCCTGTCGATCTTGGGATTCGTCTGTCTTCGGCCACCTGTGAGCAAGAATCCTGCTGTCTGACTTGCCTATCTTGGGTTCCCCAGCCCCTGCAGCTACATGAATTAGGAGCAACCTCCAGCCTGACCCACGTTCCAGCCTCTACAACCACGTGTGCCATTTCCTTGATATAAATATATATTTATTTATACACTTTACTGGTTTTCCTTCTCTAGAGAACCCAGCCTAAGACAGGGCATTGTTAAATATCAGAGTCCCAGGTCTCATCACCAGTAGGTTCAGGGTGGGACCCTGGAACCAGCATTTTAACAAAGTCAGACATTTCTGACGTTATTTTTTTATGTGTCTCTAAGCAGTCAATGGAAACCCTGGTGGCTACTGCTGCTAACCAAAAGGTCAGCAGTTCAAATCCACCAGGAGCTCCTCAGAAACTCTATGGGGGCAGTTCTACTCTGTCCTATAGGGTCGCTATGAGTCAGAATCGACTCGATGGCAACAGGTTTGGTTTGGTTTTTTTTTTAAGCAGTCAATATTTGCTACCCGAGACTAAATCAAATTTCTGTTAAATTCCTTTCAATGCTGGCTGAGTTATAGTGGGTTTACACAAAGGCAATACATATAGTAGTCAGATTTTTCTCTCTTTTATCCCCATTGTTCAACTTCCAGTCAGCTTGAGTCAGGGGCAACCTATCACATCTCTTTCTTCTCACAAGAACTCACGGAGGAATCAATAAGAGATTAGTCAAACCAACTAGTTGTATTGTGCAGAGCTTGTACAGACTCTCCAATTTCCTTTACTCACTCAAGAAAAGGAGGAAGTTCTCTAAGTGACTCACCACTCTTTTGCAGTTAAGTCTCCTTTGACGTCTTCTCAGACTTCATTAGGGAGAATGTGGAGCCACTTGATCAAACTGTTCTTTTGGGGTACTTTTTCCTTGCTCACATGTAAGAACTACATATCATTTTGAAGCTTGAATCTCTAAACCAAAACATGATGTGGAAAAAGACTTTTCTCGTGTTCCTTTTCTCTCTTTCAATTCAAAATGCAGTATTGGACGATGAGAGGACAAAGAAAACGGATGGTAAGTTTCATTTACTTCCCTTTTACTAAAAACACTTCTATTGAGATGGTGAGAGTGTCAGCTTTAAATATGATCATTCGTGAATAAGTTTTTCTCTGCTTTTAGATAAACAACCAAAGAGTAAAGCCTTTTCAATCACCTACTGTTTAAAATAAAAAGATTTTAGAGAAGTACTAGGAGTATATTTCCCAACATTCAGAGACAAACTATTTACAGTGTTTTTATAATGAAATGCTTCTTTCTTTGTTGTTAATCAGAAAATCAACCTACAGTCATTGTAAAATAATAAAAGCAGCATTAAAAATATATATTGGGAAGTAGTTTATTATCATAGAGCTAGACGGCACTGTCCTCACCCTGGTTCTATCATTTACTTGATCTCAGCCTGGGCATGTGATACAACCACTTTAATTCTTGTTTTCTTTCATCTGTGAAGTGGGGATGATAAAAGTAAAAGTACCTGTATGGGAAGGTGGTTCTGAGGATCGAATGAGATGACCCATGTTCCTCACTACAGTGCCTGCTGTGTGGTGAGCCATCCATAAATGTTAGCCAAGGTAGCTCGTGTTACTATGGAAAATGTGAAGTCCTGTTACCCCCACCTCCAATCCTCTCCCCTCTCCCAAGAGGCAACCACTATTGATAGTCATTGTCTATGCAATATCATAGTAAACAAACTCTTCTGTGACTTTTTTTTTAACTTCATTATATATTATAGGCATCTTTCTAGGTAGTACATGTAGATTTAGCTCATTATTTTCAACAGCTGCATAGTATTTCATTAATTTACTTAATCATCCCCTTGTTGATTGTTCCTTTTTTTGTAATATAAGCAATACTACAGTAAGTATCCTCATACATGAGTCTTTGTGGACACACGGGAGCATATCTGTAGCATAAAATCCTAGAAGTCAAATTGCTTGTATATTTAAATTGTTACAGATACTGCTAAATGGCTTTCCCAACAGACTGAAAATATGTACAGTCACCAACAGTGTGGGTGAGTCTGAGTTTCTCCACACCCTCCCTGTCAGTGGATACAATCATCTTTTAAATTTGTGCCAAACTGACGAATGAAAAATGACATTTCAATATTGTTTTAATTTGCAGTTGCCTCATTATAAGTGAAGCTGAGCATCTTTTCATGTTTTTTGGCCATGGAAGCTGCAGCATTTCCACATAAAGGAAATTCTGGGATGGCTATCTGGTTGGAAAAGGGAGGCTAGGTCTTGTCTTTAAGCTGGACTAACATAAGACTAAGATGTTAATTGCCCAGATCATAGAGTTAGAGGGGAGTTGATGGCATTTTTGAGGTCACTAAAGCCGCTCCCCAACCCAAGTCGCCCCTTGATCCCATCATTGTTTAATGTCCATTGGATTTCTTCTTTGGGAAATTACCTATTCATATTATTTGCTTGTTTTTTATTTAGTTGTTTCTCTCTTCCTTATTGGTTTGTCATTGATTTATATACACAGAAAGAATTCTTTGCTTTTATTTACGTTTTAAGTATTTTCTTCTAGGCTGTCACTTGTCTTTCAATTTTGCCATACAGAAGTTTTAAGTTTTGAGGTGGTCAATTTTTTCAGTCTTTTCTTTATGGGTCCTAATTTGTTAGTTTTACTTGGAAGGCCTTTCCTATCCGATGATGTAAAAATATTTCCCTATATTTTCTCTCAATTTTTTCACAGCCTTTTTTTTACATTAAGATTTTCTAATGACCGTTTTTCCCCCTTGGTTTTTTTTAAATAATAAAAACCAAACAAGCTATCAAAGAATACTCGGAAAATTAGGGAACAATGAGTTTATGTTAATGTAGGAAGAACAATTTGGAAAAGGAGGGTGAGAATGGTTGCACAACTTGAAGAATATAATCAATGCCACCGAACTGTACATGTAGAAATTGTTGAATTGGTGTATGTATATTCCCAACAACAGCAGCAAAATAAATAAATAAATGAATAAATAAGGCTACTGGGATCCTGTCTAAAGGACTCAGGAGCCAATTTGTAGAGGCTTCCACTGATCCAAAAAATGGGGCAATAAGAATAATAATGGCAATGGATTGAAACACATCAAATATGCTTAAATCTGAGTTCATAATGATTCTTAAAAGAAAAACAACAATAAAAGAAAACATCTCACTATTCACTTCTGTAAGATGCTAGAGAACCAATTCGTTATTTTCAAAACTGGGCAATAAAGGGAAAGAATCAAGCACTGATCCTTCCTTTCTTGTGCAAACTATATCTCAATGTAACTAAATGGTTGACAAGGGCAAATTTCTCTTTATAGAAGTATTTTAGAAAATTATAAAGAAGGAATAATTAGAGTTAGTATATTATCATTTTGTAATGTCTAATAAAATAATGCTTCCAGGTGATTATCATCAAAGGCTACTAATAAACAAAAAGAGAGAGAATCAGATATTATGTGCTTCCTAATAGAAGTACATACTACCACCTGTGATGTATTCTTGTTAAGCAAAATCTAATCTGAATCTCATCAAGCTTCTAGATCTAATAACTGATTTACCAGAAACATCAGGGACAGAGAAACGTGGTAAAAGATATCATGGAAATGTGATTAACAAAATCCAGACCATAGAAAACACTACAGAACAACTTGCTATATTCAACAAATAAATTGTAAGGAAGGAAGAAAGAAAAATGAAAAGGTCTATAAATTAAAAAAGATTTAAGAAACATAACAACCAATGGCAATATTTGAATATTCGACAAGCAAACAAAAAGACACCTGGGGAAATTTGAACACTAACTAGATTCTTGAGGATTTTTTTAAAATATTGTTAATTTTTAGGTGTGATAATGGTATCGTTATGTTTACAAAAAAGAGTATCATTTAGAGGTAAAAACTACCAATGTCTTCCAACCAAAAATCACCAGAGACACATGTGCAATTGAACAAAGTTGGGTTTACTGACTTGTTGCAATGAGGGAAAACACAAACCATGGGGAATCATGGAATATCTCAGCAAGAGGGTGTTAGAAAGGACTTATTATGGGATTTGGACTTGTGTTAGTTGACCTGGAGGAAGATTCAAAGAAACAGGCTTTGCTCTGGATTGGATTCTTTCAGGAAGTAGGAGTTAATTCTATGATTGAGTATCCTAATAATTCTCTTCTAGAAGGTAAGAACAGAGCCAGGCTAAAACTGGAATTGTGGAAAAAGAAAAAAAAAAAAGCAGAAGTCACTCATATTAGCCTGTATATAGGGATGTTTGGCCATTTTTGTGGTTTGGACAATACTGATGTTTTTATCTGTGCTCAGACATGGTTATGTAGTAGTCTTATCTTTGTCTTGATCCATCAGGGTCATAGATTGGCCTTGTCTGTTTGGTGGTCTATGAATTTGTTTATGATCAGTAGCAGAACACCACAGCCTAGCTGTAAGTTACAGGTCAGGTCCTAGCCAGGCCAGTTCCAGCTGTCAGGGGCTGCTTTTCTCTTTCTCAATACTGAAATGCACGGATGGGATAAAATGCCATCTGTGACTCACTTCAAAACAATGGAAAAGCAGGCAGACAAAACAGGATTGATCACATGTTGATAATTGCTAAAGCTGCGTGATAATTTCCTTGGGGTTCATATGCTATCCTCTCTACTATTAGGTTTGAAATTTTCCAAAGTATAAAATAAGGGGCATAACAAGCCATCAGACATAATATTTGAATATTTCTAAGTCAGCATGGAGCCCTGGTGGCACAGGGTTAAGAGCTCGGCTGCTAACCAGAAGGTCGGCAGTTCAAATCTACCAGCTGCTCCTGGAAACCCTATGCTGCAGTTCTATAGGTTTGCTATGAGTAAGCAATGGGTTTTAAGTAAAATGTAAACAGTCTTAAGAGCACCCTCTTCAGGCTGTCAGTGGCAAGACAGACAGTAAGCTGAAAGGAATTTGCTGGTCAAGCCCATCCCATCACTCACTGTGAGGAGCCTCTGCAGGCCCTGAGGCTTCCTCACATACTGGTCAGCCTGGCTATGCAGGCAACCAGAGCTTCACATAGAGAGGCGCTCCAAGAATGGAGTGTCCCTACCACCTTGACCCACATACATGTGGCAGGAAGACCACTGAGTTATCATCGAGGGATATTAATGAGGACTTTTTTGTTTCGTTGTTTGTTTTCCAGAATGCCCTTCACCTAGATTGTCATCACAAACCACTGTGGTCACAAAGGGTCAAAATGTATCTCTGATTTGCTCCATTGAGAAAAAATCTCCGACAATCATGTACGCTTTTTATCGGGGTGACAAATACCTGAGAACTAAAGATAACGGTGAATCCAATATTTTCAACTTAAGGATCTCAGAAGCCCGTGATTTGGGCCCCTACAAATGCAAAGTCCAAGATTCTATATCTTCAGCTTACCGCTGCTCAAAATATAGTCCTGACTTCAACTTCACATTACTAGGTAAGTAGAGCCCTTGTATTTGGAGCCCCTGTGATTTGTGGGATCTTTTCTGTTCCACTAAGGGCTCTCCATGTCCCTTATGAGCACTCATTCAAAAGCCTGGGAAGTGTGTCAACAAGATAATTATTTTTAATAATTCAATTTTTGCTTTCCCTTTCAAAAACTTTTTACTATTTCAGATAACAATAGCCAGACTGCCTCAGACAAAAATTCCAGATCTTTTCTAGATACTCTATGACTCCCATCATGTAAGTAAAATTACTTTTTCTCTGAAGACTCAGGACACCTTAGAATCAGTGTTGGACCCCATGCAGAAGGTCTTTAAAGCCCCAGGCCTTTCTCCACCATCTTCCCCTTGCAAGGACCACAGAAAAGGTGCCCCGTCAGGCAGCACTCCTCCTGCCCAACTACAATTTATTATTTCTGTATTTTTCATGTCCATCCTCACCCCAAAACTTCTCACAACCCAGCATTAATGGCCTCACCTGTGAAGGTGACCTTGATAATGGACTCCTGGAAGAGAAGTAATATGTGAAGATTTCATGTAATATGTGTACATCTTACCTGTAGTCTTCTAAACATATGGTGTCATGGATTGAATTGTGTCCCACAAAAATATGCGTCAACTTGGTTAGGCCATGATTCCCAGGACTGTGTGATTGTCCTCCATTTTGTGATTGTAATTTTCCTATGTGTTGTAAATCCTAATCTCTGCCTGTGGTTAATGAGGCAAGATTAGATTATGTTAAAGAGGATTAGGGTGGGATGTAACACCCTTACTCAGATCACATCCCTGATTTAATGTAAAGGGAGTTTCCCTGGGGTGTGCTGTACCACCTTTTATCTTATAAGACATAAAAGGAAAGGGAAGCAAGCAGAGAGTGGGGGACCTCATCCCACCAAGAAAGCAGCACTGGGAGCAGAGCGTGTCCTTTGGACCCAGGGTCACTGCACCTGAGAAGCTCCTCAACCAGGAGAAGATTCATGACAACGATCTTCATCCAGAGCTGACAGAGAGAGAAAGCCTTCCCCTGGAGCTGGTGCCCTGAATTTGGACTTCTAGCCTACTAGACTGTGAGAGAATAAATTTCTGTTTGTCACAGCCATCCACTTGTGGTATTTCTGTTATAGCAGCGCTGGATAACTAAGACAGAATTTGGTACTAGGAGTGGGGTGCTGTTCTAACAGATACTTAAAATGTGGTGGAACTGTGAATGGATAGAGGACTCAGAAGGAAGTGAGGAGAGCTGTTACACTGGAGATGGCGCAGATCGTGAGAAGCAGCGGCAGAGAACCAGCAGCAGCACAGAACTGGCAGTGGTAGAGAATTGGCAGCAACAGAGAACCAGCAGCAGCAGAACCAGGAGATGACCACGACACTGTGCTGGAACTGACCCAGGGAGCAAGAGAGCTGAGTTCCTTCTGGCCGAGATTTACTGGCGGAGTGGGGTGCCTCCAGGCACTTATCAGTAGAGCCAGGCTTGCCAACCCACAGAGCAAGACAGCTGAGTGCCTTCTGGCCGAGGTTTACTGGCAGAGTAGGGTGCCTCCAGGCACTTATGTGTGGAGCTACAGAGCTTTGGAACACTTGCCCCAGCAGGGCAGACGCGGGTGGAGAGGCCCGAGGGGCTAAGAGGCCAAGGAACCAGGAAGCAGAGGCTGAAGAGAGAAGGATGTGTGGAGCTACAGAGCTTTGGAACACTTGCCCCAGCAGGGCAGACGCGGGTGGAGAGGCCCGAGGGGCTAAGAGGCCAAGGAACCAGGAAGCAGAGGCTGAAGAGAGAAGGAACACAGGAAACTGAGCTGCCTCAGTCTCAAAGGATATGGTCACAACCTCTGGGGTTTCAAAGGTTGGAACCATGGCCTCTAGTGTTTCTAAGGGTGGAGTTGCCACTTAGATGGACTAGGAGAATGGTGTACCTAAAGCCAAGGAAACAGAGTTCCCATTCCTGTGGGCCTGGAAGGGGGAGCTGAAGCCCAGAGCCAAGGAGCCTCCACTCAGAATCTGGAAAGTGTGGCCAATACCTAGAGTCTGGAGGGCAGGGCCATTGTGTAAATGGTCTCAGAGAACAGAGGATTATTTTCAAGCCTTGAGGGCTAATGTAATGTGTTCTGTTAACTTGCTTGGTGCCCATTATGCCTTCTTTCCAATGGATTTCTCCCGTATATAATGGAAATGTCTACCTTGCACCATTGTACTTGCATCATTGTACTTTGGAAGCAGATAACTTGTATTCTAGATTTCACAGATGAGGAAGAATTTTTGGATTTTGGACTTGGAGTTGATTTAAGACTTTTCTATGAATGATGGGGTGAATGTGTTTCACAGGTGGCAAGGACATGAAATTTGGGGGGCCAAAGGGTAGAATGTCATGGATTGAATTGTGTCCCCCCAAAATATGTGTCAACTTGGTTAGGCCATGATTTCCAGGATTGTGTGATTGTCCTCCATTTTGTGATTGTAATTTTCCTATGTGTTGTAAATCCTAATCTCTGCCTATGGTTAATGAGGCAAGACTAGATTATGTTAAAGAGGATTAGGGTGGGATGTAACACCCTTACTCAGATCACATCCCTGATTTAATGTAAAGGGAGTTTCCCTGGGGTGTGTCCTGTACCACCTTTTACCTTATAAGACATAAAAGGAAAGGGAAGCAAGCAGAGAGTAGGGGACCTCATACCACCAAGAAAGCAGCACCAGGAGCAGAGTGCATCCTATGAACCCGGGGTCACTGTGCCTGAGAAGCTCCTCAACCAGGGGAAGATTGAAGACAAGGACCTTCATTCAGAGCTGACAGAGAGAGAAAGCCTTTCCCTGGAGATGGCACCCTGAATTTGGACTTCTAGCCTACTAGACTGTGAGACAATAAACTTCTGTTTGTTGAGGAGGTAGGGCCAACATGGCGGAGTAGTCAGATGCTTCTGGTGGACCCTCTTACAACAAAGACCTGAAACAACAAGTGATTCAATTATATATGGAAATCTGGGAGCCCTGAACATCAAAGGCAGAATTGAGGAACTGGACTGAGTGGCAGGGGGAGGGAGAGGCAGTTCGGAAGCAACAAGGAGTTGCCAGACCTGACCCAGCAAGAGCCTGAGCAGTTCAGGTCTGAGCAGCTCGTGGGTGAGCAGTGATGCAGGCAAGCAGCCGTGCTCGGGAGGTGTGTTTTCCACACCAGGAGAGACCCAGTGCCAGAGAGTCTACATGCCCACCCAGAACCAGTGAGAAGCAGTCTCAATCCGGCGAAAGATAAGTAATTGCGTACAGGCTACCAAATGGATCAAAAATACCCTCCTTAGGGAAAAACCTCTCTCCCATTTACCTCCCCACTCCCTGCTCTGCACTGGGTCCCAGACCGGCTTCAGCAATTGCCAAGTCCCCTGGGCCAGAAGTAGGATCCGTCACATGCCTGGAGCCATTCTCCCTGCCTTGGAGAGTGAACAAATTAACAAACGGGAAAAAATAAACTGTCGGCTCCCCTTATCCAGGAACCCAGGGTAGGCACGGCTCCTTTGCCCAGGCACAGGCATAAAGGATCCACAGACTTTGAGTGCCTTTCCCCCTGCATAGACTTGCGTGGGCCCATCTCAACGGTAGGCCCTCATTACCCCAGTAAAACAGGGTATATACCAGAACTCTAACTTCAACTGTTTCAGCTGTGATGTGGCAGGTTCTTGACATTTAACACTGCTCTGCCCATTAAGCAGGGTCTTCACCTACCCACATCAGGGGCCTGAGGGCTGGTAGCTCCACCCACGCCACCTAGCCACCTGCGATAGGGGCCCATGAATAAGAGATGCCCCTCAGTCCCTACAGCCAACAGCATTAGGTGCTCATAGTCTGGCTGCGAAACCCACCCACCTATGTGCTCTAGGGAACAGGGACAAGCCTTCCTCCTGGACACTTGGGGCAGTCATCAGCCCCCTGCCTTGCTCAGTGTGTCCCCCTGTTGTATCCAGATGCCTGTACCTATACCAATCACCCGTGCCTGTCTAGGACTGTGAGACCCTACAACACACACTTGGTGGCTATCTACCTGGGCACCTGAGCTGAATCCATACAGGAGGAGTGGGCAGACTCCTGAGCTGACATACCTAGTAACTGCTCTAACCACCTGGTGACAGGACATTAGAGGTTCAAAGGTGCCAATAATCAAAGTAGCTCATATGAGCAGCCTATTTGGACATATCAAATCAAAACAAGAAGCTAGGACACAGTAAACAAACATAAAAATAAATAAATATAATAACTTACTGATGGCTCGGAGACAACAGTCAATATCAAAACACATAAAGAGACAATCCATGATGGCTTCAGCAAGCTCCCAAAATAAAAAATCTAGAAATTTTCCAGAAGAAGAAAATTTCTTGGAATTATCAGAGGCAGAATATGAAAGCTTAATATACAAAACTCTTCATGAAATTAGGAAGGAAATTAATCAAAACGCAGAACATGCAATAGAGAAAATTAAGAAGCATAATGACAAATTTAACAGGCTGCAAGAATCCACAGAGAGACAGCAATCAGAAATCCAGAAGATTAGCAACAAAACTTCAGAAGCAGACATCTCAACAGAAAGTCATAGGAGCAGAATTGAGGCAATGGAAGTCAGAATTAGTGAGATTGAAGATAAAGCACTTCACACCAACTTATTTGAGGAAAAATCAGATAAAAGGATTTAAAAGAAGGAATAAACCCTAAGAATTATGTGGGACTCTATCAAAAGGAATAACCTACGAGTGACTGGAGTACCACAAC